AAAGCTAATTAATTAAACAAACAAAATAGTATATGCAGAAGGTAAATTTAAATCATTATGTATGTATCTATATATATATATAGATAGATAGGTAGATACACGCGCGCGCTTAAATGATTCGCGAAAAACAAAAATTTAAAACCTTTTTTTTTCCCACCAAGTTCTATGTATTCATTGAGCATAAATTATATGTTGTTTCACAATTAACTGTACCCACACAAAGCTCCAACACTTTGTTGTTCACATTTCGTCACATAAAGTTTCGAAATTAGCCCAAAAATTTGCCGTGTTACCATATAATCCTTCAACAACAACAAAACAGAATCGAGTAAATGAAGACTAGGAAAAAAGTTGGATCTATGTGTTTAGTGAATCTTTGGTCATCTGTAAAAAACTTAAAATTTTTGTTTTTCGTGAAGTAAACTTGTTCAACGTTAACGTCGCAAAAACCTAAACCAGTCTTTTACAGTATAACAACAAGACATATACAAGTTGAGTATCTGCTACTTATTTTTATAAACGTCAAGTTATTTAGTATTTTAATAAAAAAACGCAGATTAAGTAATCACAACATTCCATACGTATACATCTTTATTAACATACTTAACCAGTAAAACTAATACCACTGAGCAGATTTCGAGTTAGGTGTAACAATGCAAGAAAAATGTCAGTAATTAATCTGGCACTAGATTGTTCAGTTATACGTCACAACTACCACAAGTGTCAGTAATTAATCTGACACCAATATGCTCAGTTATACGTCACAACTACCACAAGTGTCAGTAATTAATCTGACACCAATATGCTCAGTTATACGTCACAACTACCGCAAGTGTCAGTAATTAATCTGACACCAATATGCTCAGTTATACGTCACAACTACCGCAAGTGTCAGTAATTAATCTGACACCAATATGCTCAGTTATACGTCACAACTACCGCAAGTGTCAGTAATTAATCTGACACTAGTATGCTCAGTTGTGCGTCACAACTACCGGAGGTGTCAGTAATTAACCTAACACTAGTATGCTCAGTTATACGTCACAACTACCAGAGGTGTTAGTAATTAACCTGACACTAGTATACTCAGTTATACGTCACAACTAAGAGCATGTAAGAAATAAAACAAAAATTCCTACAGATATTAGCTTCTTGACACTTTCCTTCTGTCGTGGATGATCGTCGTTGTCTGGCTGAACTTTCAACCTGGACGAAAACCGCTGTAAGAAACTTGAACACGACCGAAACATTTTACACCACAATGGCGTGGCCGCTCGTCGTTTGAGTGATCGCTCAGGTAGATTCAGTACAATATTTATTTCGTTCTTGTGAAACTGAGCCACTTTAAAGTTATGTTTACTTCAACTACTCAAGAATGTTCTGCATATGCAAACAAGACACATTGAAATCCTGAATTGTTCTTCACACAGTCTCCTTTTGCGTTTTCAATGGCTTTTCTCTTCCTTTGCACAAAACGTTTGTTATTATTGTTTTTTTGGCACAAAAATTCACATGGAAAGGGGTTCCCTCAAACAAATTATAAACAAAACAAATTTAATACATCAATATCTTGAAATGTACTCTTTATAATCAAGAAACATAGTCTGATTGGAATCTTTCTCATTTGTTAACAGATTACAACAGAGTACAAAATCAGTAAGAGAACAACAGTGACACTTTACGAACACCCGAGATGGAAAAAAAGTGATCTAAAGATCCTTAAAATTTAATAAAGGGGTCATACTAAAATATTTTTCTGTGTTAGAGAAAATATTCATGACCCATAACATCTTCCCACATAAATAGAAGACAGTGTGAGCTAGAAAAACAAGTTCTTGTAGTCAGTAAGAACTCGAAAGAGCGTTTAGCTTCCTTTATTTCTCCTACAGGACATTGGCACTTTGTAAACGCCCCATCTGACGTTAGATTTAGATACATATAAGTTGTGTATATGTGGATAACCCAGTTTCTAGTTTATACTAATTTAACGAAACGATATTTCAACATACATTTCTTATGCTATCCTTGCTATCCACGCTGCTCTTTCGAATTTTAGACTAAATGACAGTTTGAACATTCACCGCTCTGTAGATAGCTTCGTAATCGTAACTCATCTCAGAGAAATCCTGTGTGTCACTGTTTTCTCATACTCGTTGAAACTGTTCGTTTCCTCGAAAAACACATAAAATACGACACGGAGCAAACTTGTAGAGTCAAACTTACTACATCACAATCAATAGAGAAAAGCTGAAAGATGGTAAAAGGAGGTAAAACCTCGAAACTGTTTCGAGGATGGATATCGAAACACGCTATGAGATTGTTGGTTTCTGTCTTCTAATAATACCGCGAAGAAGATTATTTAGCTGAGAAAGAATTAAACCGCGTCTGTTTGGCGCATCTTCTCGTGCTTCGATACCGCCTTGCTCAACTGTATACTTAAAATAGCTTCTTCTCTCTGACCAGGTTGCCAAGTTACTAATTTCATGCAAACTTTGGATTGGATTTAAGAAATAATTCCTTCTAAAAGTCTTCAGTTCGTAACCATAACAAAACACTAAAATAAATTCAAACAGCAATAACAGGCATGGCAGTCCTTTAATAATGTACGTGTCAGGTCTTTCTTTTGAACCAAATGACAAAAGCTTTGTATAAATTGATAAAGATAATGTTCTCGTACAGAGTGAATATTAAATGTGCAATAAGAGCAGTTATAACTCATGTAATTAGCGTTTGTTTGTAACTATAATTTTTTGCGTATCTGTATTTATGATACTGTACTGGTATGATCGTAATAAAATAAATGGCATGATAGTTTATTGCTATAAAATCCTTTTGGCTAAAATATTTAAAACTTTAACTATATTCTAGAGGTGTTGTACAATCCTAGCCCAAATCTTGTAGTTTTTAAGCAGCTTCCAATCTTGTTCTCTTCATTGTGATTTCTCTTAGTTTCTTGGAGTAACAACATTTTACTATCAACTATTAGATAATTTATGTACTGTAAATACGTTAAAAATTACTCCACAATTTTCAGTTTTAAAACAGCTTTCTAGCTCTTGGAACCACAGTACAATATCAGTTGGCCTCAATGAGTTGTAACAACGAGTTAATTTTGGATCCACTAGTGACACCGACCTCATTCTTTTATCAGCTGTATTGGTGTCAAGGTTCTTTCACATTATCTTCCAATTAATCATACTAGCGTGGGAGTATTTCGTTAGAATTTTCATAAATCAATCAATATTTGCAATTTGGTTGTCTTTAATTCATTATACAGTAGACGAGAATTTTTAACTTAAACATTTCGTTATGCACAGAATTTGCTTGTCAACTTTACAAACACCCATACACAAAATAAAATTATCCAACCAATGACTGAACAGTTAAAATGTTTGTTACATATGGTCTACATTGTCGTAGCAGCTTAATTAAACTTTAAAGAAATTATATATGTAAAAATATGTATGAGTTAAAAGAAATTGGAACCAGGTAATCTCGTCACCAGTACAATGTTTGCAATAACTAATCATCTTCTTTGGTGAAGTTGTTTCAGCATAGTAATATTTACGTAAAGCTGAAGTCCTTGGAAGCGAGAATATTTAACAATGAATGTATTTAAAGCATTCGTATCCTTTACATTCTTTCCCAGTTTCTAGATCTTTTGTTGTTATATATATATTGATCGTGTTAACTGTATCACAACTACAAGAAACTGTTAACGTTCAGCAGTTATTTCCAATGATTGTATGTGCAAAAAGCTAAGATGAACATTTTTCTGGCTTGTTAAATCCAAACATTATGTGGTTAATTAACAAAATTATTAGAAGCTTAATCAGTTCACAACTTACGTATTCAATTTTTTTGTACTGATCAACAACTGACACTGGATGTTTTACCGACGATGATGATAATGCCATTTCATGTGCTGTATGTATAACTTGTCTCAAGTATGTTTAAGAATAACCTACGTATCTCTGGCTTCGAACAGAAAAATATATAAGCTTGAACACGCTCGCCTACATGCAGTGCTCTGGTTTATATCCACTTTTCCCGACACCGAAAAGAATCACCAAAAGCTGAATTGGTTTTGAATTTCGCGCAAAGCTACACGAGAGCTATCTGCGATAGCCGTCTCTAATTTAGCAGCGAAAGGGAAGGCAGCTAATCATCATCACCCACCGTCAACTATTGGGCCACACTTTTACCAACAAATAGGGGGATTGACCGTCACATTATAACGCCCCCATTGCTGAAAGGACGAGCATGTTTGGTGGAACGAGAATTCGAACCTGCGACCCTTAGATTGCTAGTCGAGCGCCCTAACCACCTGGCCATGCCGGGCTTCCAAAGGCTAAATCATGTAAGATAGACAGAATATATAATTATTACAACACGACAACGCAAGTGAGTTTAACTCACGGATAAAAACACTCTAGTTGTTGTAACGTTCGTCTCTTGTAACTTAACAATGATAGCGTCGAGTACCGTAAGCTTGCAATTGGTAATATATATATATACAGGTAATAATATATTCATTGTACATTTAGCAGGATCTCAAGGGTAGCCACGCAGTACTAAAGAACTGTTCATACGAATGGACTTGTTTATTTTCTAAGATCAAAGCTGCACAAGGATCGAATCCCAAAATTTAGCATTATAAACTCTCAAACCTGCAGCTGAGACACGGGAGAAGGACCCTCTAATGGGACTGCTTCAGCACATAAAAAGTTCGACGTGTCATAAAATAACTGTTTAAACCTCGGTTGAATATGAATTTACAAATATCATATATATAGATGTTCTTAACAATTAAAATATAATACGTTTTCAAATCAAGCAGTATATGTGTCACTAGCTCCTAAATCTTCATGTGAATACACCCAGAATTTAGAGAAATATTTCGGTTCAAAGGTATCGCTCAAAGTAATTTCAATCAGGGAAATAATCAGTTAAATTCTCAAACTCAATAAAAGTCTCAATACACATCAATAAAAGTCACTTATAAATCTCATAAATAGCAGTTACAATCAAGTTTAAACACAATGTTTTACGTATTATTTGTGTTATACAGTTGATGAAGCGGAGTGAAGGTCAAATTTACCGTCCTACCTTAATTAATTCGGAAATAAAATGCAGAATAATGAACCTTTTGACGAAGTATTCAGTTCACAATAATAATAGATAATCAACAGAAAGTATTTTCGAATGCTTTGTTTAAGCCTAATTTTGAATTAAAATATATTATTCAGATTAATACTATAGATGTATTTGCCGTAAACATACTTGTAATGAATTCTACATTTGCTACTTTTTTGAAAGTCGATGAAATAATGCGATTCTGTTTTAATTACTTTAAAGAAAACGATTTCGCTTAAAACGAGGATACCAAATGACGAAAATAGAGTCTAATCTTTATAAGCAAGAACGTAAGAACAGTATATTTAATTACATATGCTCATTGTCGTGTTGATTTTTAGTTATGATATACGTAGGTAACTGACTTTGATCAGAAATTAATATCAATAATCCCTATTATATTTGCAAAACTATGTTATCGTAATGTTTCTCTTATCTTCAGCTAAAATACGCTATGATATAGTTCTCTAACGCTTTTAGTACTATAATTGATTTGTTAAGTCCCTGAACCGAAATACTTTATCTAGTTTGATACACTGCGAAGGAAATAAAGCAACATACGTACATATAAGACAGCATATAAGCTCCTTGAAATTTAATTTAGCGTAAGGATCAATGTATGAAATCCTAAGAATCTTCTGTGTCAAAAAACAAACCGTTTAACATCTTAGAAACTTTTTAACACCCTCTACTGAAGTTGTAGCACAACTAATGGCGGATCCATGAAGAAATCCTCAAGATGGGACGACGACGACGATATTATTTGCCATATAATATGTCGCATTCACTTCAAATGTAAAAAAAAAAAGGTGAACAAATTAAAACTTTTATTTGACGATGAAATGATTCCGAATTTTAAAGACAGTTTATGCTGAAAGGATACAATTTGGCCCAATATCAACAAAGAACATTTTGAAACCATCAGATATTCAGGAAGGAGATAACATTACTAAAGATTCTTTTCTTTTGCACCAGCTAGCTGTTAAATCGAGCACTGAAAAAAATATCATTTTTTATATTTTTTTATATATAGCCTTTATCAAATGCTATTGCTTTTTTCCCTGTAAAAAACTGAGTGTGGTAGATTTGTGTAGAATTGCTAATAACAAATTTGTTTACAAAAGGACGGAAGTACAAAACTTTGAGAGTGACGTTGGTTGAGTTTGGAAAACTAAGTCTTAACCAATTAGGAAAGACGCAATAATGTTTGTTTGTTTTTGGAATTTCGCGCAAAGCTACACGAGGGCTATCTGCGCTAGCCGTCCCTAATTTAGCAGTGTAAGACTAGAGGGAAGGCAGCTAGTCATCACCACCCACCGCCAACTCTTGGGCTACTCTTAGACGCAATAATCAAAAGTAAGTTAACCTACAGAAACTGAATTAAAAATTTAAACCTGTACAGCACCTTTTGCCCACATGCTCTTAGCAGCCAGAGTAGATATCTCTAGGGTTTACACAGATCCGTTGTTAATTCTGAAATACTGACTAGATGGAGGACAGCTAGTCAGCAGCACTCATCACTAAAAGACTTTGTCCGATTCTTTGAGCTGAATAACGAGATTGGCTATCACTTTTATAAACGCAAATAAAGACTATGGTCAAAAGCATCACAGCTCAGAGCTGGGACCTTACGATCCCCAGCTCGGCGCGTAACCAACTCAACCCATTAACGTACAGAAGATGAAACAAGAGGTAATCTTCAACAGTCGCAGCACTTGAAATCCTTTAAGGCAGGATTAAAGTAAATTAATCACTGAGACCGTTTTTTTTTTCTTTTTATTAGCTATATTTTTGTGTGCCAGCAATACCAAGCGTGGGACGTGCGTGCATACCCGATTCGATTTTATTACTGGGCAGGATCTCTATCAGCCTACTCTCAAATTGAAGTTATATTAAGCACAATCAGAGTAAACTAATCTATAAGACCTTGGGTGTGGTTAAATACACCAATCGAAAGTGTTTGACCTCCTGAGTCAAAAACTGTAATTAGATCTCAAATCAGTCAAGCAATGACGGAGCTATGAGTTAAAAGTTTGTACTTGAAAAATAAACACAAAAAAAAAACTCGCCCTAGTGGCACAGTGTTATGTCTACGGACTTACAACTCTAAAAACCGGGTTTCGATACCCGTGGTGGGCAAAGCATAGATAGTCCTTGTGAATCTTTGTGCATAATTAAGAAAAAAAC